ACTTGCTTATCAATTTCATCTTTTTCGTTTAGCTCTCTCTTATTGTGCTGGTTCTCATCTGCCATGTGTTCCAGTTTTATACCCAGAAGCTTCTTTTGTTGAGAAATGATGGCAAGCTCTTCTCTTAATTGATCATTTGCCTCTGCAAGCTCTGAAGACTCTTTTCTATGCCTCTCTTTCTCTACTTCAAGCTGGTGCAACAATTGTGGCACAGAAGAAGATGATGATTGTGGTGAAGGGTAAGGTGTATGGCTAGGACTACGAGAGTATGATTGAGGTATTGGTTGTCCATACTCACTCCCTATCATCATTAAAGGTTGCTCAGAAAGGGACAGTGCCCCCACTCTTTTAACTTGAGAATGGTTTCCACTGAATCGTTCTATTTTATTAAGAACAAAATATTAGAACAATTGAGTGTACCTCTATTTCAGAATACAGTGTTATGTGCTTACCTAGTTCAATGATTTCTGGGTAGCTCAATGGAAGGTAGTCTTTGTTTAATCCTCCAAATACAATCACCGACACACCTTTGCCTCCTCCTTGCTTCCAGATGGAGAGTGAGTGGTCATACCTTCCAGTCACTGTCTTGGGTAGAAGTATCTAACAATAATAAAGATTAATAGTGCTACCCAGTGCCATCAAAATTGAGTTGTAAAGTACATACATATGACATGAATAAATAAGTGAATCATACACTATAGGATGTTAAGATGCTGAAGGACCAATATGCACTGTATGTTCTACTGATGACCAGTGAAACTCCAAGTATAGATCTAGTCTTAATACAAATCTTTGTTCAAGAAACAGTTGGAGTGTAGTTTACTATTCAAGACATTTTATCTTCCCCTAAATTCCTGTTGTTCATAATAATTCATTAGATAATGACTATAATGACAATAACTGTTTCTGTTTTACTGCATTTTTTTGTCATTTGTGCTGCATTGTACAATTACCTGTTTCCACCATCTTGTATACAGATTGAATATCCAGCAGTCGCTAGTCCCAACTCCTCCTACTATCATGAGTTCTTCTTCATTGATGAGAACTGATGCATGGCCATAGTGACCCAATGGGACCTCAATAGACTCTGGAACCAACTTCTGCCATGTCTAAGAAAAAAGTTATTATTTTAAAAAAATCACATTTGTAAATTAATGTGATATGCAATGCACATAGAGATGTCATCATTGTCATGTACAATGTACTTACGATTGAGGATTCAGTGCATGTTCCAACGTATACAGTATTACTGATCCCATTAGGTGTATTTCCACCAAACAGTATGACAGTGTTGTCGTTTAATGATGACATGGTGAAGAGGTATCTGGGCTGACCTGGGCTAATTGCGCTGGGGGATACCCATTTGCCTATAGTGCATTGGATAAAGATGATGTATGCTTTATCTGATTAGCCTAAGTTAATTATACTAGTCATACACTACCGGTGTGTGTACAAACAATATGACACTAAGGCTAGTTTGGAGTAGCTTGAAACTTTCCAAAAATTTCGATTTTGATTTGAATTTTTTTTGATTGAAAATATATGTGCATCAAAAATTGGTACTTTGGTTTGATTTTTGAGCAAGTTTAAAAATTCATAAAAAATCTAAATTTGATCAAAATTTGTTCAAACTTGATATGTAACAGAAGTACATGTATATGTATCAGAAAAAATTATAAAAGTGAAGAATTTTCTTGTAGCCATTTTTGACGAAATTTGGCTAACAACCCTGTACTATAGTACAGGGACTTTAGCTCGATTTTTGAGCAACTTAAAAAATTCATAAAAAATTTAAATTTGATCAGAATCAGCTCAAACTTTCTACACAACATAAAAACATGTTTATGCATCAGAAAAAATTATAAAAATGAAGAATTTTCTTGTAGCCATTTTTGACGAAATTTTACCAATGACCCTGTACTATAGTACAGGGACTTTGGCCCAATTCTCGAACAACTTTAAAATTTCATAAAAAAATCAATTTTGATTGGAATCAGCTTAAACTTTCTACACAATATAAAGAACATTTAGGAAAAAAAATATTTAATTGAGAATTCTCTCCTATAGTCATTTTTGACATTATTACCCTATACCACATAAAGATGCTCTTACCACATACCTGTGGATAGCTTATAATAATGATGCTCATTCGTGCGTACAAATCCCTGCAATCCTTTGTCGCTGTACTCTGCCTCAGTCTGATATGGCCTATTATTAGCCATGGGCCCAACGCCACCCACCACGAGCAAATAGTCTTCTCCATTGATCCTCAAACCAGCCATTCCACAATAAGCCTTCAACATTGGACCTTGTAGCATGCTAGTAGGTGACAGCTTGGTCCATTTAAAATCAACAAGACTCAGACTAAAGAGGCTATTGTGACGACAGTCATCATGATTACAAGAGCCACCAAAAAAGAGTATCTGCTGGTTCATTACAGTGGAGGCATAGCCCCTGATTCCCAGTGGTGGGTTGCCAGTTGTTGCTACTGTCTCCCATTCACCAGTTGGTAGTTGGATGACATCGACAACAGATGATAATTTGAGTTTTTCTGGACTGTTGTGTAGCTGTGGTAGGCCCGGCTGATCACCACCCCACAGGTACAATTTGTCATTAACAATGTGGGTGTTGTGGTAATATCTTGGAGTGGGGCCAGCAGCATTTACTAAAGGAGGAGAAAGAGAGAGAAGAAGGTTTAAAATAAGAATTGAAGAAGAGAGAAAGGTTTTATAGGAGAAGAAAAAAACTCAAACTTAAGAGAAAGGGATAAAAGGATTTAGTGTAAAGGAAAGGAACAGATACATTATAGAAAGAGACAAAACAGGCTCTTACCCCTAGTTTCTTCCATCTTGGACAGTTCACACTATCAACTAAAGAATTTAAACTTAATAATGGGTTAGAGTGCAGCACCTATCTATGGTATGAATCACATAAATGACATAGCTTTTGATATGAAATCATTCTAGAGTGGAACATACATGTATCAGAGATGAAGTTATGCAGTTGATGATGTAGACTATTGCATAAAATGACATAACTATTGATATGAAATCATTTTAGAGTGGAGTATACATGTATCAATCATGAAGTTGTGCAGTTGATGATTTATCACATAAAATGGCATAACTATTAGTATGAAATCATTCTAGAGTGGAGTATACATGTTATTAGTATCAATCATGAAGTGATGACTTGCTTCATAGCAGCATTTTTTGCAAAAAAAATTATTGGTTATACATTTCTGCTTAAAATCATTATTAAATTTAATGTGAATTTTGAAGCTGTTCTTTTCAAAAAAAAACAAACTATAATAGATTTATTATAGTAGATTAGACCTAAATAGTAGGTATACAGACAACACAATAGACCACAAGAATTTAGTAGTAAAGAGGAACATGTAGGAGTGTAACTGGGACCACAAAAAAGCCCCGGGCTAGTCTATTCTTCTATTCAGCTACAATCAGTACAATGCTTCTCTATCTCCTGCTATGCCTGCTTGCTTCTTTTCCTGGAGCTGTTCCTCACATGAGCCTACCTCAACCTGATGACAATCTTAATATCTATGCTCTTCCGGTTGGTCAAGGAGACTCTACTGTCATTCAATGCCCATTGGCTGACAATGGAACTATTACCATCATCGATGCAGGCTCAAGCAAATCGACAGGATTTACTAAATACGATTTTGTCAATTACTTAAAAGGTCAAAGCATTAAGTATGTTATCCTCACCCATGCTGATACGGATCACGTTAAATATATTGATCCATTACTTCAAATGCATGACCAGCCCGTCACCATTTATCATTCTTGTAGCTGGAGCAAGTACAGGAGTAAGGTTCGTTCTGCCAACACTGCAAAGTTTAGAGTGACCAAATGCTGTGGTTTAGAAGGATGTAATTTCTCCCTTCCTCTATGCCCCAATAGTAAAGTAGTATTAAATGTCATTGGCTCGGAGTACAACAATTGCAAGAAAGGAACAAATGGTGATAGCATTGTCTCTATCATTAAATACCAAAACATTTCAACCCTCATCACAGGCGACTTTGAAGGGAGCAAGAGGTTTATGAGAAGTTATCTGAGTTGTGTTGGAAATGATCCAGTTAGCAGTGACTTAAGAGCTGATATATATAGACTCTCTCATCACGGGGCTTATAATGGCAAGGCAAACACTGAGGATTTCTTAAAGGCCGTAAATGCAAGTTATGTTTTTTCAAGTAGTGGTCTTAAATCGAATTATAAACACCCACGCTGTGAGCTTTATGACCACTACAAAGGGAAGCTGACTATAGATGATACTAAGCATAGCTATACCTGCTATATGAAGGATGGGACTACTGCTAGTTACTACACTGGGGAAGGGATATATGTCACAACAGTCATTGAGGATGAGATTGTAAAGAATTACGTCGTTAAGTTTTCAATTGATGACAAAGGGAGTATACTGCCCAGAGCAATACTATTTCGTAAATAACATTTTACTCTGAAGTTTGAATCTTTTTTCATTATAGTTTCAAGTCTTTTGTTTTAGATTGCTGATTTTAATAGTTTTATGTAGTGTTATGCTATAGCTACAATACTTACGGTAATCTAGTAACCTTTCTTGAAATTGTGGGTGACGCCTGTATGGGTTGCCAAAGTGACATTGATACAAAATACTAGTTCATTTATGTTTATTAGTCTGTTCCTAATTTAAAGAAACACTAAGACTAGAATAATTGATAATTAATAAGGTGCACATAACATCCAACCTAAACTAAAGCAAATAAAATGTATGACAAGAATACTAAAAATAAGGCCTAAAGTTAGACTCTAGTTACACAAAATACACTGATGCACTAATTGCATGTGATATTCTTCTTTTTCAGTCTTTTTCATTAAGTTCAACTTCTTCCTCAAAATGATCCTCCTTCTTTTTCATTTCCTTGTTTTCTCTATTTGTATTGCAAAGCTAGTTAATGCAGGTTATGTCATATATACTATACCTTTGGCCATTCTCCTCATCGTGTTCAAAGTTGTAATTTTCTTTCATGTACGGCAAAACAATAGATCTAGCAATGATAATAATCTTAACAGAAAATATATCGATAATTTTTGTATTATTAAAGATAAAATTAAATAGGCTTTGTTTTTACTAATGTCATTACAAGCCAATCTATTATCACGTGTACAATGAAATATTACATAAAAATCTAATTTTATGAACATTGTAAAAACTTTTTAAAGAAAGGTGGTGAGTTTATAATTAAACAGACTATCAACAGACATTACATCAAACATACTTCTTTCCTTTGCCTCTTTTGAAATATATAAATGCAACAACAGCAATGACTACCAGGATTAGAATGACCAAGCAAATAACAAGCACTGATGGAACAACAACTGCTGCTACATTTGCACTAGGTTTAGCAGTTGCTGCAAAAGAAGTAATAATCATTATATAATTATGTTTGAATGAACATACATGTTGATAGTGAAACATAGATTTCTGATGAGTTGTCACCCGTTCCAGCATAATTAATAGCATTAACCTATTATAATAGTGTGATACATAGTGTTTCATTCATGACAGGCTTACAATAAAATAATACTCTCTGCTATCAAGATCTTGAAAATGATATGAGTTTTCATAAATTGTGAAATTAAGAACCTAAAATATTTATTATTATCATTTTTAACTGTAAATTATTTATACTTGATATGTATCATTATCATTGCTAAAGTAGAGCTGGTAGTAAAGTATTTTTCCATTTGGAGACTCAGGATTCGCCCATTCAAGTAACACTGAGCTACTGCTGGTAGCTGTAGCAGTAAAGTTCTGTGGAGCACTAGCAACTATTTTAAGTATAAAAATCAAGAAAAGCTAGCATGTTCATACCTCCTGTAAATATGTGGATGAGGTATGGTCTGCTAAAAGGACCTTGTCCAACAGATGAGCTGATAGAAGCCAAGACATTAATATCAGAATATTTTGGTAACCCTTAATAAATGAATTTTAAAATTGATGAAAAAGGATAGTGCCTAGTGCTTACCTGATATATAAAGAAATGTTTCAGATATATTATAAATATCCAGTTTTTGCTTGTATTGCACTTTCACCATGTAATTCTGGATGAATCCTCTTCTGTGTTGAACAGGTGGTGGATTCCATTCAAGTATGACTGACTCTGATGTCAAAATAGTATGATTTGTCAAACTTGGAGAACGATTTGGGACTACATTAGAAATAATTCAATTTGTATAGCTATAATTATCATGGCTTACCTCCTTCTAATGAATAAAATTCAAGCATTGTTGGTTGCCCTTTGCCAGCAGAAGTGGCAGCACTTACCACTGCAGTATAACGTGTGTATGGATCTATAGAATTATGATATTCACAGCAATACGTGTTAAAAGATGCACTTACTTAAATTATGAACGTTAATGCTATTTACTGAAGAGTTGTGAGTCTCATTGTATAATCCCATAATGGACACTTCATAGAATAAGATTATTCCATTCTGTTCTTGAGGTAGTGACCATGATATAAGGACAGAGGTCTCTGAGATTGACTCTGTTGCTAACTGTGAGACTGGTCCAGGCTCTACAATAATGAATGTTGTATTAATAAATGATATAAGGCAATAGTAGTATGAATGACCATGTGCAAGCAGAAAACCTGAAAAGACATTTTGCATGTTGAATGAATAATGTTTACTGCTCAACAGTGTGCTCATATTAAATTGTAGTACTAGTATGGTGCATGGGCAAATAAAAGGTGCCACCCTTGCTACAACTTCTATAATGAATCATTCAACTTGATTACAAACCATCTATTTTGAGTTCTGTCCTATGGAACTATAACAGAACATTCTAAAGTTATATCACATTAGTGTATGAGTGTAATTCAGTAGCTCCTCATTCAATAAAAAATCATTCCATTTATGAATCAAGATGATATAATTTTAAAACTTAAAGATGTACACACATTCACATATAACTTACTTCCTTCTAATGAATAAAATTCAAGAGTAATTGGCTGTCCCTTACCAGCAGAAGTAGCAGCACTCACCACTGCAGTATAACTTGTGTACGGACCTATAGAAACATATTAGCATTTGACAGCTCTATACCATCTATTACTTAAATCATCAATTTTGATGTTGTATACTGAAGAGTTGTGAGTCTCATTGTATAATCCCATAATGGACACTTCATAGAATAAGATTATCCCATTCTGTTCTTGAGGTAGTGACCATGATATAAGGACAGAGGTCTCTGAGATTGATTCTGTTGTTAACTGTGAGACTGGTCCAGGCTCTACAATAATGAATGTTGTATTAATAAATGATATAAGATAGTAGTAGTATGAACGACCATGTGCAAGCAGAAAACCCAAAAAGACTTTTTGCTTGTTGAATGAATAATGTTTACTGCTCAACAGTGTGCTCATATTAAATTGTAGTATGGTGCATGGGCAAATAAAAGGTGCCACCCTTGCTACAACTTCTATAATGAATCATTCAACTTGATTACAAACATACTATATTGAGTTCTGTCCTATGGAACTATAACAGAACATTCTAAAGTTATATCACATTAGTGTATGAGTGTAATTCAGTAGCTCCTCATTCAATTTATGAATCAAGATGGTATAATTTTAAAACTTAAAGATGTACACACTTTTAACTTACTTCCTTCTAATGAATAAAATTCAAGAGTAATTGCCTGTCCCTTACCAGCAGAAGTAGCAGCACTCACCACTGCAGTATAACTTGTGTATGGATCTACAAAAACATTATTAGAAGTGATGCATTTAATACCTATCATAACTATTACTTAAGTCATCAATTTTGATGTTATATACTGAAGAGTTGTGAGTCTCATTGTATAATCCCATAATGGACACTTCATAGAATAAGATTATCCCATTCTGTTCTTGAGGTAGTGACCATGATATAAGGACAGATGTTTCTGAGATTGATTCTGTTGCTAACTGTGAGACTGGTCCAGGCTCTACAATAATGAATGTTCTATTAATAATCATTGGTAAATGATCTAATATAATAGTTCATGTGCAAGCAGAAAACCTGAAAAGAAGCTTTCCTTGTTGAATGAATACTTATTATTCATCAGTAGTGTGATCATATCAAATTGTAGTATGGTGCATAGGCAGATAAAAGGTGCCGCCACCCATGCTACAACTTCAACAATGAATCATTCATTCAATCAAACATAATTCAATTTATGAAGATTTTGTGTCAAGGTGGTATAATTTTTTCACACGTAGAAATTTTGTAAGGAACTATATTGTGCAAACACACACACACACACAAAGATGTTATTATAATTATTAACTTACTTCCTTCTAATGAATAAAATTCAAGAGTAATTGCCTGTCCCTTACCAGCAGAAGTAGCAGCACTCACCACTGCAGTATAACTTGTGTATGGATCTATAAAACATTATTAGCATTTGATAGCTACTATTTCTATTACTTAAGTCATCAATTTTGATTTCATATACTGAAGAGTTGTGAGTCTCATTGTATAATCCCATAATGGACACTTCATAGAATAAGATTATTCCATTCTGTTCTTGAGGTAGTGACCATGATATAAGGACAGAGGTCTCTGAGATTGACTCTGTTGCTAACTGTGAGACTGGTCCAGGCTCTACAATAATAATGTTGTATTAATAAATGATATAAGGCAATAGTAGTATGAATGACCATGTGCAAGCAGAAAACCTGAAAAGACATTTTGCATGTTGAATGAATAATGTTTACTGCTCAACAGTGTGCTCATATTAAATTGTAGTACTAGTATGGTGCATGGGCAAATAAAAGGTGCCACCCTTGCTACAACTTCTATAATGAATCATTCAACTTGATTACAAACCATCTATTTTGAGTTCTGTCCTATGGAACTATAACAGAACATTCTAAAGTTATATCACATTATTGTATGAGTGTAATTCAGTAGCTCCTTATTCAATCAAAAATCATTCAATTTATGAATCAAGATGGTATAATTTTTAAACTTGAAGATGTACACACTTTCACACATAATAGAGTCTAATTAACTTACTTCCTTCTAATGAATAAAATTCAAGAGTAATTGGCTGTCCCTTACCAGCAGAAGTAGCAGCACTCACCACTGCAGTGTAACTTGTGTATGGATCTATGAAAATATTATTAGCATTTGATAGCTACTATTTCTGTTACTTAAGTCATCAATTTTGATGTTATATACTGAAGAGTTGTGAGTCTCATTGTATAATCCCATAATGGACACTTCATAGAATAAGATTATTCCATTCTGTTCTTGAGGTAGTGACCATGATATAAGGACAGAGGTCTCTGAGATTGACTCTGTTGCTAACTGTGAGACTGGTCCAGGCTCTACAATAATAATGTTGTATTAATAAATGATATAAGGCAATAGTAGTATGAATGACCATCTGTAAGCAGAAAACCCGAAAAGACTTTTTTCTTGTTGAATGAATAATGTTTACTGCTCAACAGTGTGCTCATATTAAACTGTAGCATGGTGCATGGGCAAATAAAAGGTGCCACCCTTGCTACAACTTCTATAATGAATCATTCAACTTGATTACAAACCATCTATATTGAGTTCTGTCCTATGGAACTATAACAGAACATTCTAAAGTTATATCACATTAGTGTATGAGTGTAATTCAGTAGCTCCTCATTCAATAAAAAATCATTCCATTTATGAATCAAGATGATATAATTTTAAAACTTAAAGATGTACACACATTCACATATAACTTACTTCCTTCTAATGAA